GAGAAGCTGCAATGGTGCCAGATAGACGCTGATACCTTCTTTCAAGTGGTGGAAGGTCTATATGGCCGAGCAGATGATACGGTCGAGTAAGAGGAGGAGTCGGGCCAGGGGGGGAAGACGAGCGAGGGGGGGAGTCCAGCCTTATTTCGTCCCGCTTGTCTGGGCATCTGATGCTCGAGCTGGGAATTTTCGATATACTCGAGCATGGGATACAACTTTGTCGAATCTAGAATATTCGCACAGTCGCCGAGCCTTTCCACATCACTTGGTCGCGCCATTTCCTCTGCCTTAGGGCCCTTCTCCCAGGCCATCGTTCGGAATCTGTGGAGTCCCAGCGGCCCGGATTGGGACGAAGTCGACTTCTACACCTTCCATCCACTCAACGCCGCCGCCGGCAGCAAGGGCAATGGAAAGCTCGCAGGACTTGGACATCAGATCCCGCTCGAACGCTTTCTCGAAGTCCTCCCTCTCCTACACGCTGTCAACCAGCGCCTTGACCTTCCCCGCCTCGACCAGCGCGGACAAGTCGAGCCTGAAAACCTGGCCATCGGCGACTTCGACCTTGCAGGGTGTTCGGCATTCTGGTCGCGTGCGCCGCATCACTGGGTAAGTGGAAGAAACGGAGCTGGAAGTTGTGGAGATCACTGCACTCTTTCTGCTAATTACACTAACCCGCAAGGCTATCTCTCCGCCGACACCTTTGGATCCTTTCGGGCTTCCCCAATGATCTCCCTCATCCGAGCATACAATCCTGTGTCCTCTTTTTCCCACCTCCCACCATTCGGAAATACCACTTTCCGTAGTCTGTTGATCCAAGGTACCAATGGCTGGTAGTATGGCGTGAAGTTCTCTTCTGCGGATCTGATGAAGTCCCCTTCATGAGACACTTGTCCCTTCTTCTCCTTTGCCAACAATTCCATGCTGATGTAATTCCAGCTATCAAACTCAGTTGGCCCCATATCTTTGCCTTGCGCGTCGTAGTGGATGCATATCCAGAAGAGCACCCAGAAGAATGACTCGAGGTCGTGCATGAAAGAATGTTGCTCGCCCAGGAGCGCCCCGATTGCCATGAACGCCCTCGTGCCGGTCTTGCCCTTTGCTCCAGAGGCGCCATCTCGTTGCTCTTTGACGGCGAGGTCCAGGTCAATTAAAAACGAAGGCCAGGAGAGGTTGTCGTCGTCCTCATTGATCATGAGATTGTTGATCGAGATGTCTCTGTGGAGGAAGGCCGCCTTGCGCAAGGATTCATGTCCTTCAATGCAGCCCTCTAGCGCGGCAAGGAGAGCCGATCGAGAGCTCGCCTCGTAGATGGGCTTTCCATAGTCACGAAGAATGACACGTCGATGCACCCGATTCGATAGTGCGTCGCCGCTAGCCTTCGTTGGAGATGCCGAACAGGATCGCTTGCTGGGGGCAGAGGGGCGCCAATTTGGCTGGATGATCGCTTCTTGCCAGCAGCGCGGCTGCTGCTGCGACCTCTCTGTGAAGCCCCAGACGCGATCATATTCGGCGGCGGCATCGAGCGTTCCGGCCGGTAGTTCGTAGCTGTGGTGATATCCAATCCTCCGCGAACGTTTCTTCGAATGTTGTCATCCGTGCCGCGTACTTGAACTGTCTCGTGGTAGTAGTATCGGGCCACGTTGACAACGCCTTGACCAGTTGCCTCGCGTAATAATTCGCCCTCCTCATCGCGTTCGGGGTATTGCCATGAGTCTTTAATGACGAGCGGTGTCTGTGGGTGTCCTTCGTGATGGGCTTTCCAGCAAGTCGTGGCCCGGCCAGCTATGCAACGTGCGCGTTGCATCACCTCATCAATGATGAGGCGCTCTGTTGAACCATCCCGCTCGATCTCGATGAATCGCTTGTCATTCGCCGTCATGATTGTCGGATCGAAGCCAAGCTCCTCCTCGCTCATCCAGAGAAACCCGAGGACCGTGGACACAAACTGCAGCCCATCTTTGTTGATGTCGAATTGTTCGGATGCGATCCCCCCGAGCCGGTCAAACTCCCATATCCTCATGAGAGATCCACAGATGGTAAAACCCAAGACGAAGCGACGGGTGTCTTGAGCAGCCAGCACTTCTCTTGCGTACCTCCCAAGATCAAGCCATGCTTTTGACGCTTTGTCGGCCGACGGATTGCTCTTTAACTCGCCTGGTATAAGGATATGCGACCAGTGACATCGAGAGTCTTTTCCAGCCTTAGGGTTATCCACGAAGCCGACGTCTAACTTACGTTCTGCCGTAGAACCTTGGATCGGCTTGTTGGGTTGTGCCAATGGCCTTCGTCGATGTGTCGGGGTCGACTTGTACCCTTCTGCGAATGTTGCCAGTTTCTCGTTCAATTCCGTAAACCAGCTTAAGACATCGTCCTGATTTGCATCTGTCGGCCATCCGCTCCACCCATTACTAAAGAGTGGTTCGCTGCCTTCTATGCACTTCTTGAAGACGGCCTCGGATATTATCTTAAGACCTGCTATCCGTCCGAAAAAAGCTTCGTGGAATCGAGGAAGCCCGACGTATATAGCGCCGAGTTCATCCCTGAGGACTCTGTCCACATCCTTGCGGTACTCGGAGGAGTTCGCGAAGCCGCTCGTGTTATACAGCCATGGGGTTTGTTGGACGGAAGAGGCGATCGCTCGGGGAGGTGGGGTGGATTCGGTGACGGCTTTGTAGACTTGGCCCCAGACGTCGTCGGGATCGCCGGTAATAGCTGACTTCAAGAGAGGTTTGATGCGGTCGAGGTCGAAGTCGTCGGAAGTAATTGCTGTATTAAGCCTCGATAGTTCGCTGAAGAGAGCTCTTCCACTGTTGGAACGGAGCAGGCGAGCAGCCGGAAGGATCTGTAACGTCGAGAGAAGGAAAAGGACGAGGTTTTGGAGATCTATACGATGGTCAGAGAAGCACAACAGAACCAAGCTGTGCCGTCCTTCTTACCTTCTTGGCCAAGCTGCTCCAGCGCATCTAGAGTGCCAGAGATGTTCGCGCCTTCGCAGATCGAACTAAACAAAGCGCGGAAGGCATCAAGGCCCTTCCCAATAGGGTTATCCTTGATGATCTTTGACCGTAGTTGGTCTGCCATAGCGGATGGGATGCTCTCGAGATGGGAGAGGTGGGAAGAACTGAAAGTCGCGTTTCGTGGCATGTTTTGGCCCGTGCGAGATTTTCCACCAGCCACCCAGCCACCCAGCCACCCAGCCACCTAGCTGAGCCACCTCCGGGAAAACTTTCACTCCGAATTCTTAGTCAGCCACAATTCCACAGTTTGACGGCACGGAAAATCCCCAATCCGATAAGCCAACCAACGTCAATGATTCACTCACATGGACCGGAAACCTTTGTGGCCAGAAGACCAAGCCCAAGAAAGCACAGAGGAATTATGGGACTGGAAGAGCAAAGCGCTGTATTGGATGAAGGTGCCCGGAAGAATCCAGGGCAAAGCTATCTACGCGGGCTGTGCGCAGGTAGGCAAATGGACCTGGATCCCTGGTGGGGATGTGGCCCACCCTGTGTGACCTCAGGGCCAGGTGGGTCCAGGTCTACAGGAATAACTTCAATGAGAGACTGCCAGAGTGTGGCGGCTGAATTCCATCTTGCCAGCAACGGGAAGAGAGAGAGCAAGCAGCAGAGCAGACAGGACGGAGGAGGGGAGAGAGGAGGGGAGAGGAGGAGGGGAGAGAGGAGGAGGGGTAAAAAGTGACGAAAGTGCTTTGGAAGCAAACGAAGCAAGCAAGGTAGTTCAAAAAGCAGCAATAATGATATAGAAAGCAACGAGAGTGTTTCAGAAGCGACAAAGGTCGTGGTGCGAGTGCAGCTTGTGTGCTTCAGTCGATCCTCGATGTTGGTGGCAAAGGAAAACTTTGTAAGTTCGAAAATAAAAGTTCGCGAACATTGGTGTATAAATACAAAACACGCGCTAGTATCATGGGTCTTAATCAGCCGCTGAATAAAGTAAAAATAAAAGTAAAAATAAAAAACTCGTGATGTGGCGAGCGAAGGAAAGGAAGGAGGCAGTTTTCATCCCAAGGAAATACTCCATGGGGATGCATGCCCCTAACACATGTAGATCACGAGACACTAAGTAGATAAGCTGACAGGCGTTGGACATCGGATGCAAGCTATGTTATGTGTTCATCTCGAAGTGGGACTAAAGGAGCAGCAGTGCGTTTTAGATTCTCGGGTCCATCAACTGATTTTCTAGAGGTTGATCGAATCCAATTTTAAGCATGTAAAACCATTTTATCACGATCCTCACTTTTAAGCAGCATTTGAGTATGTGTAAAGGGGACTTAGATAAGGAGAAGAAAGTTCAAGATACCGTAGTTAAGGACTTTAGCAGTGTTGCCATCCACCCAGGGTGATCAAATTTGAAAGGCCAAGGTAAGAATGGGGAGTATTGGTTGATCAACATCCACCATCTCCAATTACACAATGATTCTCCCTCCCCTGACGATCAAAAACATAAGGTATTCCCAGTATGGGGGTTCGGCCAGCCCCAAACCACCCTAAACCCTGAACCTTGAACCCTAACCAGTAACCCTAACTTGGGGGGCTAGTGCCCACAGCGAAGAGATCGCAAGAGTCAATTGAGACCGTAGTCGAGTGTGGTGATCAGCTGGTGGTAATGCATACAATTGGTACAATATAAAAAAAGCTCAGACCATTTTTCAAAATAGTAGTACGAAGTACCTTTGATTGTTAGAATATTAGGTAGGTCATTGGGTCACTCCTTCTCCGCTAGCGGTACTTAACAGTAATGGTCTCTTTTACACCCCCTTTAAAGAATAAAAGGTGGAGAAAGCAGGTAAAGTTATTGCTCCACGCCCTTATTTTTAATTACACCACTAACACTTTTATACTTTCGAGAAACGCTCATGTGTAAATTATTCCTTAGGGGTATAAGCTATCCACCCACAGCAGAAAATGCCTATCAATAACACAATATAACATGCAATTTCGTTGAGACTTTGAGGACAACAAAAATGACAAAAGAAAATGGAAGGGCCTAACCGGGATTTGAACCCGGGACCTCGCACATACTGGTAACTTGTTTCATCAAGTAATGGGAAGAACCCGAAGCACGAATCATACCACTAGACCATCAGGCCGAGTTCCTTACATTGGATTAAAGTTTTACCGACACGCGCAACTTAAGACTCTGCGTCGTGATTAGCTCAACGACACTGTAAAAACCCCAACTTCTCCATCCCTTACCCTTGAAGGCTCAATTGACGTGATGCAGTCGCTTTTTGTTAAAAACCAGATTTTTGTCCCAGAAAGTCCATGCGAACACAGAAGAGACTCCCTTAACCCTTTGCCTGTTTACTGGTCCGCGCAGCGATTTTGCAGCCCTGAATCGATTGGCGCAGACAAGCAAAAGTGAAGGACTCCTTGCAGTCGTCATCGCGACCTGCGCCAGGAGCCAACAACACCACTAGCAACATGGAAACCACACACTTCGCACCGCCCTTTCGACCACAACCAACCGCGCCAAACGAAGCAAGCCAGCAGATCAATTTGTCACAGATGTAGAGCTCAGTAATAAAGTCCATTGAGCCGAGCAAGCAATTCGCTCCTCTCGGTTTCTCACCCCAACAGCCCGCCGCCCGCGCCTAACCATAAACTCACAATGCGACGACATCTCCAACAACAACACCAGGTCTGGTGGTCTAGCGGTATGATTCTCGCTTAGGGTTCACCCTATAGCAATAATGCGAGAGGTCCCGGGTTCAATCCCCGGCCAGACCCAGTGAATGACTCAGGTCCTGTTCCCTCTCTTTTTGCCGTTGTGGAGGTGGTAGGGGTGTGGGTCGGGATATTGGTGAGTCACTCCACCGGCCCGGCCAGCTAGGGCCGTCCCTTTTTGCTCGGGGGATTGGCGAAGTCGAAACATAACAATGAACAGCTGTGGGTGTATGCCAAAGAGTTTATGGTTGCGAGCCTCGATTAAGAACCTGACGAACACCCATCCGTGCGAATGTGTTTGTCAGGTATTTAAGAAGAATTAAGAGATTCTTGGACCCTATGGATCAAAGATCTAGAGCCTTGACAGATCGTACAAGCCTTCCATTCGCAAGGGTTTGAGATTCTGACGTAAATAAGCTCCAGTCGTGCTCCTAGTTTCTTGACAACTCGGAGAGAGGAAAATGGAGCTCATTCGCTACGCAAGCTGCCGGTTCTCGAGCGCCCCGGTTCTCGATCATCTCTGCCATCCTTTTCTTCGGCGAAAAATTTATTCCAGGTTTGCTGATATCCATATTGCTCTTACTCCTGTCGCCGCCGTTAATGTCAACCTTGACCGCCTTAGGTAAGAACGTTTAGTTGATGCAGCCGAGGTAGCAGTTCGCACTGACGCTTAGGCCCCAACCAAAGCGAGTAATCAGGCGCAATCTCGTATGAAGAGCGTCTATTTGATAGCGTCGATGCCCTTCGACCCAGAACCACACCAGCTAACCGATAGCGGATGTTCTCCTGTAAAGAGAGATTACATGCTAAGCGATCTTTGTCTTCAATCCAAGATTAACAGAACCAAGGAACCATGCACAAACAAACCAGTAGAGTTAGGCTTTGACAGGTTGTCGTAATGGATGCGGACCTCAGCTAGACGACAGCCATGAAATGTATAGGTAACAGAATATGATTAATGGAGACCATGGGACTGGTGCTGCTTCTGTATCGGATTCGCGGCCTCCGTGTGTTTTTCAAGTCAGGTCCAGCGTGCTTATATGCCCTTCAGCTTGAGGCGGGTCAAAAAACCATGTTGGAGGTTTATGATCGGTGAAGATAACTGCCTGCTCCCTATGTCGTTCTGAAATGCTGTTTTGCAGCCATTCCGCGAGTCCTCCTGACCATTTGACAGATCTGCGTCGGTGGAGGAAATCTTTCTCGAGCATGCGGGAGCTGTCCGATAAGTGCTTTTGCCAGTGTACTCTTGCCGCTTGCCGCGGGTTCGATGATCATGGTTACATGCAGCTGAGCAGTCGGTATGTCGATGCTGTTTCAAACATATTGGAGTGTCAAGACGACATGAAAAATAGTTACCTCGAGTTTTTCAGTTCTGCTTTGCGTTGCAGTACCTCCGTTGCCGTTGTCTTGAGTCGTTCGATCTCCGCCTCCAAACGGTTGATCTTCTCAGATGTGCCTCTGAGTCCCTTCAACAATCTTGCATGCTTTTCTAGCGACTTCGTTTGCTGTCTGATATGGGTCTCGCTACGCCGTACCTTGCGCTTGAGCATTCCATGCCTTTCGTCCGATACTCGTGCTACATGAATTTAGGTAAGCCAGGCTTGTGCGGTTGCAACCGATATTGATAACTTCAGGGCATGGTCCCAGAGGTAGCATCCTCGTCAAGAAGTAGAAGATACCTGATCAAGGAGTTAGGTCTAGGTGTCTAGGCAGGCGACGATTTACAAGGAGAAAGCCGCGGCATCCCAGTGATCCGACGTGGAGCCATATCTGTCGTACAAGACCAGACAATAGCAGCGAGGGCCTGTCTGCCCCCCACATCAAGAGCAAACAATAGTGCTGTTCTGTTAGGCCACTGAGGTAGGTATCCGCTAAACCAGCCTTGGGGAGCACGATATGGGATCAAGTTATTTTCCCCATTGGCTGGAAGCATAAATCCAACACAATCAGGCCGTAACTTGCTGTTCGTCGCTTCCTGTTCTATAACAGGGACATAGTTGAGATAAAAGTATTGAATATCAGAACCGAGAAAATCCTCAATCCATACTTCATTCAATGCCCAGCTGTCAAATCAGCCACCAGCCTCCTCCTATGTAATTCTTCCCACTCTCCTGATCTTGCACTTCTCTTGAACTTGCACTTCTCTTGCCACCCACATCGCTAACCCAGACTTGCGACTTTCTCTCTGCACTTGCACACCTCACCAACCACAAGCACACATAGCAACATCGCACATACCACACATACCATACTATCTCCACCTACTTTCCCTTACTCACACACCAATCTTCACTACGCCAAGTAGATTTTCGATATCAAGATGGCCAAGGTATGTCTACCCAATATTGCTAATTCATCATCGTCGCTATCGGTGAGCACATAATACTTCCTAGCTTCTTTTTAACTACGCCATAACATGGCCAAGCTAACACCTCATCCTTCTCTTTAGAGCACGCCCGAGAGCAGCTCGCAGGGCAGCGACCGAGCTTCCTCACCCGTCATGGCCTATCGGGCTCGGATTGCCCGTCGACTTCCTGCCATCCTTCGGTACCGCCAGGCTCAACTAGCCCAGTATGCCCGCCGTGAGGCGGAATTCACCAGCTTAATGAAAGAAGCTGCCGTTGAAACCAAAGAGACCATCTATGTCGCCCAATCCGAGGTCCAGGCTGCCGTTCGAAGTAAGGCTCGGGGACCAAGTCAGTGAAGTGGGCTGATGACACATCTCCCGAGACGGACGACATGGATCTGGAGTAAATGTTTTGGGCTGGAGTCATTTTGACAACTGCTTTTGTGCCCGAGATTCTTGGAAATAATGGGGGGTATTCATCTCATTGGATTGCATTTGGAGGAGGGAATATTCTAGTATTTTAGACTTGGATAAGCAACTTAATTGCGACGAGATAATGGATCTAGTAATGGGCTATTGGTAACGAATTTTTTTGAGAAAGATCCCAGCGGTTCCCCTTTCATTCTGTGACATTTCTCGTGGAGAAAAAAAGAAAAAGAAAAGGAAAAGGAAATCACGCGATAGTAAGAGTGCGACGGCTGCTACGTGTGATGGCATATGACGTCATAATAGCTGTGGTCGATTCAGGCTGAGATGCTATTGGCTAGATACACGGCGGGGTAGTTCTAAACCAAGAAAAAGGGCCCCACCGAGAAGGAAGAGCTCTCGCTCCCATTTTCTGTCTAGTCATGTCTGGAAAGCTAAGTTGGCATCTGCACACCCGACCGCCCTGAACCCCTCCACTCTGTTTCCCACCACCTTCGCACCCCGAAAAATACAAGCGCCCATTTAATGTTCGCCAAATGACGTATAAATCCAAGATGACAGCCTCGCACGCATTTTCTGTCTTTGAAACCATTTAGTTGTGTTTTTTTAGCCATTATTTTATCTACATCCCCAAGAAAATGCGGAATGAGCCATCGGACACCGTCTATTAACGCTAGACCCATATGATGCACCAAGTTTCGAAGCAGTTGGATCAATGAGGTAGCGAAAAATTAGCAAGTATGAAAGGATGAACAGCAAGTAAAGGAAAAATCCTTCGCAAGTACCGATGGTATAGAGAAGTTCCAAAGTGAGCCCGGTATGTGTTTTGTTCACTAAGATCCTACAGACAGAACGTCCACACATATCCATTAGATGCGCCCTTTAGAAGGCAGATACAGGTGCAGTCTTACACAATGTAGTTCGATAAAAAAAAGCTAACTTAAAGCCAAGACATTGGACATAGACCCCAGCTTACATGCAAATCCCTCGGCCAAAAGCGGTTTCCTGCCGTCTCCAAGAGGTATGATCCCTCCCCCATCCGATCCAGATCTTTTCTTAGTATCATTCCACATAAAACAGCAAATCCTTTTCATATTATTCATCATCCACAACTCAAGCAGCAGTCCCCCCTAGATAAAAGCCGTCCCCGTAACCCTCACAAACTCCCCCTCCACATGCGACCACACCCACCTCACCAGATCAGCATCCCGCAGATCCTGCAACAAGCCCACAACCTTCTGGCTCGGCCCCTCGCCATCATGGTTCACAGAGTACACCCCGCTCCCCTCACGCATATCCGTCCCCTTCGCCACACCCCCTCCTCCACCACCACCACCACCTCCTCCCCCTTGCCCCTCAAACACCGGCACGCCCGCCGTCCCGACAAGATCAACCACACATCCCGCCGACCTAGCCGGGAACCTCGCGCTCGTCGCAAAGAACAACTGCCTCTCGCCCACCTCGCCCGCCGAACTCCCCACCGCCACCAGCGGCGCAAGCACATTGCTAAACACCGCGCGGATCCCATTGGAACCACCACCCTTGCCTGCTTTCCCGCTAGTACTACTGCCCTTGGACTTGCTCTTGCCCCCCTTGGGACTTATGTCACTACTGCTGCTACTGCTAGAGCTGCTGGGTCCGGGGCTGGTG